AAAACCGGTAGCCTGAATGCTTTGATACTTGGTGTGTATGTACCTTGCGTTGACATCTACTAGATTTGTTCATCCCATGACCATATCTTTAATTCTCTAATTTTGGCAAATATTTTTGTCATTTTTGTTTAAAAATGGAATTTCAACTAACCACTATTTCCAATGCTTTGGTGTTAGGCATACATGTGTTTATTATTCCATTGACAACTTTGTGTGGTTGTTTGGCGATATTTTATTTAAAAGTACAAATTTAAACGAAAAGTTGAGGCATATACAGCACTAATCTTTTGTACAATAGCCGTTGAGCAACAGGCCATTAGCCTATTTTTTCATTTTCAGTGAAAAATGCTATTTTCAACTTATTCTTGAAAACTACCAGCTCAATTGCTTTGATATTTGGTATGTACGTATCTTGGGTGGATCTCTGTCAGATTTGTTCATTTTTGATTTCAATTACTTCCTGAGGTGTACACTATTTTGTGAACAATTTGTTTGGTGAAGTTAAGTTGTCATATGTTCTCAACAACCTTAACCATATTACTTTTTTTTGTTCCGCTTCTGCATTATTTTATTATAACCCTACCCCAATCTTGACTAATGAAGCGATAATAATTTGACAGATGTTAATGTACATGTACAGTCATTTCTAATGTATGTTGAAAAGGATAATTTTAAATTGAAACAAAATTGGTTTAACTGTTCTTGTACTTTAGTTTTGCAGCTTGATTGACAAGTGTTGTAAAACTATCATATTTGCTATATTAGTGGCACATGCGCTTACATAAATGACAGTGATGTGTCTATGGCCGAAATGACAGCGATGTGTCTATGGCCGAAATGACAGTGATGTGTCTATGGCCGAAATGACAGCGATGTGTCTATGGCCGAAATGATAGCGATGTGTCTATGGCCGAAATGATAGCGATGTGTCTATGGCCGAAATGATAGCGATGTGTCTATGGCCGAAATGATAACGATGTGTCTATGGCCGAAATGATAACGATGTGTCTATGGCCGAAATGACAGCGATGTGTCTATGGCCGAAATGACAGCGATGTGTCTATGGCCGAAATGACAGCGATGTGTCTATGGCCGAAATGACAGCGATGTGTCTATGGCCGAAATGACAGCGATGTGTCTATGGCCGAAATGACAGCGATGTGTCTATGGCCGAAATGACAGCGATGTGTCTATGGCCGAAATGACAGCGATGTGTCTATGGCCGAAATGACAGCGATGTGTCTATGGCCGAAATGACAGCGATGTGTCTATGGCCGAAATGACAGCGATGTGCCTATGGCCGAAATGACAGCGATGTGCCTATGGCCGAAATGACAGCGATGTGTCTATGGCCGAAATGACAGCGATGTGTCTATGGCCGAAATGACAGCGATGTGTCTATGGCCGAAATGATGCGATGTGTCTATGGCCGAAATGACTGCGATGTGTCTATGGCGAAATGACAGCGATGTGTCTATGGCGAAATGACAGCGATGTGTCTATGGCCGAAATGACAGCGATGTGTCCATGGCCGAAATGACAGCGATGTGTCCATGGCCAAAATGACAGCCATGTTTCTATGGCCGAAAGAAGTAATATTGAAATGATCTAATGTGTGATTCGAATAGAGCTAGTATGGTACACGACTGTCTGGTAGCTGACATTTGTCAAGTTTTTGGAATGTTGTCACAATTCAAGAAGTACATGTCACATTCTATTTTGTTTTCACTTGGTACAGGCATTGGCATGGCAACAACAGGATCCAGAAGACAGAAGATTAAACTATCTTCCCAAGAAATTTGACTGTCTTCGTAAAGTACCGGCTTATTCCAATTTTATTCGGGAGCAATTTGAAAGATGTCTCGATCTTTATTTATGTCCAAGACAAAGAAAAATGAGGGTGAGTGTTATTTTACTCAATGTTTTATGTCTAGTAGGTGTTCATATTCAGTAAAAGGGTAAGACATTACTATTTTCACATGCATTTTAGTTTGTTGAGGGTTTCAGTGAAGTTAAACCAACTGGTAGCTATTCTTGCTAAAATGCAGACAACTGTACCATGTATTTTTATGGGCTCTGTACAAGTTGCTATGAACAATGGTCGTAAAGCTGGTAAAAACAGCTGTAGTCATGGAAACAGCACAAACTCAACTTTGAAGTAATCCTGAGCAACTAAATTTCTATATGTTGAACATATAGGGGTAATCTTGTTACACTGTTCAGGGGAGAATCAACAACTAGCCCAAAGTTTTCACCATGATTGTTGCCAGGTGGTGAAAATGCCCTGATGGCAACGTGTCCTCAACTATTTCTAGGAACTTCCTGAGTCAATACTTGTTATGAACATCAAATATTGTTGGTGCATGTTGATAAATAATTTTACTATTGTTCAATACACCTGGTTTGGAGAGTGATGAATATGCAGATTTGCACAGCGAAAGGATACAATTGATAAACCCATACTAGCCTTGATAACCCTGTTACAGATTTAGATACTTGATAGCATAATTAGCAGGGAAGATGTGGCTAGCAATTTAAATATATTAAGGAAACTTTGTAATGACACTGATATTCAAACCTGGTTGAGGGACTTAGACAGTTGAAGCAGACTTAAAAGAATTGTGTGGCTAAATTTGCATTCCTACTGATATGCTCTATTTATATTGACTTGTGATCTGAGTATATTGGTTCATTTTACTTGAATCCACCCTTGGTTTATGAATTCAGTACACTTGTATCATCTCATATCTGTACACTGAGAAATCTTGGTAGATACATCATTAAGAAATTTAAATTAGGAGCGGAACATGTGACTGATCTACGATTGTAATGATTTTTGAAACTAATGTAACTGAAATCTAGCGCTTAGTTCAGACAAAACAATCGTGTTAATCAAAATTGATAGCGAGTAGATTTTTTGTTCAAAAGTTGAGAGCAAAGAATGTTTTTTTCTTTTTACAACTTATGCAAGCTATAGTGTTTATACTCATTGTGAATTACCCAAGGTTTTGCAGTTTGCAGCATCACCAACAGTAATGAATAAACATTTATATATCATACATTATATATTCATTATCTGTTATGAAATTGGCAGTCATCTTTTCAAGTATTCATACTCATTTTCCTGAAACACACTTTCTAATATTATATATATTATAAGATGTTGACAATTACTTCATTACACAGAGCTGTTACGATTAAATAATCTCAAATCAAAGACACTGCATTGTTTTTTTATCCAGAATATCTCAACTTCATTATATATTTTTTCAATTGTTTTGTTTCCTAGGTTCAAGTGAATCCAGAAGATCTGATTCCAAAGCTGCCCAAACCAAAGGAATTACAGCCATTTCCAACAGTACAAGCAATTGTTTATAAAGGTCACTCTAATCTTATTAGGTCAATCAGTGTGGATCCATCTGGCCAGTGGCTGGCATCTGGTACGTTTATGAAGTGATTAATGTTCATATCGTGTGTCAAAAAGAGTACGCTTGCAACAAAAAATATTTAATGTCTAATTTATTGTTATATAAAGACTATTTAACCTTTTAAATGTATTTTGCAAAACTCAATGCACCTAATATCCCACAATACAATACAATACAATACAAAAGTACACTCCTTCCTTGCAGGTTCAGATGACAGTACTGTCAAACTTTGGGAAGTCATCTCGGGTCGATGTTTGAAAACCATTCCTGTTAGTGGAGCTGTTCACTGTGTTGCATGGTGTCCAAATGTACTACTTTCACTGTTAGCCATAGTTGTGGACGACAATGTACATATCCTCAATACTGGACTGGGAGACAAATTGCTTATCTCTGGCACTGACAACGTGATTGAGAACTACGAACCAGCTGAAGATAGTACAAAGTCTTCAGTGGACTGGGTGCAAGCTGAAGATGATTTACATGATATCGGATTCAGATTATCCATAAAACATCCAAAGGTTGTTTCCTTTTTAGTTAGCCCAACCCCCGTAGTTGGCCCAACCCCCGTAGTTAGCCCAACCCCCGTAGTTAGCCCAACCCCCGTAGTTAGCCCTCTCCTCTGTGTATTAGCCAACCCTCCATAGTAAGTCCACCCTCCCTAGTTAGACCACCCTCCATAGTAAGTCCATCCTCCCTAGTTAAACCACCCTCCATAGTAAGTCCATCCTCCCTAGTTAGACCACCCTCCATAGTAAGTCCATCCTCCCTACTTAGACCACCCTCCATAGTAAGTCCATCCTCCCTACTTAGACCACCCTCCGTAGTAAGTCCACCTTGCCTAGTTAGACCACCCTCCGTAGTAAGTCCACCTTGCCTAGTTAGACCACCCTCCATAGTAAGTCCACCCTGCATAGTTAGACCACCCTCCATAGTAAGTCCATCCTCCCTACTTAGACCACCCTCCATAGTAAGTCCACCCTGCCTAGTTAGACAACCCTCCATAGTAAGTCCATCCTCCCTAGTTAAACCACCCTCCGTAGTAAGTCCATCCTCCCTAGTTAAACCACCCTCCGTAGTAAGTCCACCCTCCCTAGTTAGACCACCCTCCATAGTAAGTCCATCCTCCCTACTTAGACCACCCTCCATAGTAAGTCCATCCTCCCTAGTTAAACCACCCTCCGTAGTAAGTCCACCCTCCCTAGTTAGACCACCCTCCATAGTAAGTCCATCCTCCCTACTTAGACCACCCTCCATAGTAAGTCCACCCTGCCTAGTTAGAGCCACCCTCCGTAGTAAGTCCACCCTGCCTAGTTAGACCACCCTCCATAGTAAGTCCATCCTCCCTACTTAGACCACCCTCCATAGTAAGTCCATCCTCCCTAGTTAGACCACCCTCCATAGTAAGTCCACCCTCCCTAGTTAGACCACCCTCCATAGTAAGTTCACCCTGCCTAGTTAGACCACCCTCCGTAGTAAGTCCACCCTGCCTAGTTAGACCACCCTGCCTAGTTAGACCACCCTGCCTAGTTAGACCACCCTCCATAGTAAGTTCACCCTGCCTAGTTAGACCACCCTGCCTAGTTAGACCACCCTCCATAGTAAGTCCATCCTCCCTAGTTAAACCACCCTCCATAGTAAGTCCATCCTCCCTACTTAGACCACCCTCCATAGTAATTTCATCCTGCCTAGTTAAACCACCCTCCAGAGCAAGTCCACCCTGCCTAGTTAAACCACCCTCCGTAGTAAGTCCACCCTCCGTAGTAAGTTCACCCTGCCTAGTTAGACCACCCTCCGTAGTAAGTCCACCCTGCATAGTTAGACCACCCTCCATAGTAAGTCCATCCTCCCTACTTAGACCACTCTCCATAGTAAGTCCACCCTGCCTAGTTAGACCACCCTCCATAGTAAGTCCATCCTCCCTAGTTAAACCACCCTCCGTAGTAAGTCCACCTTGCCTAGTTAGACCACCCTCCATAGTAAGACCACCCTCCATAGTAAGTCCATCCTCCCTACTTAGACCACCCTCCATAGTAAGTCCACCCTGCCTAGTTAGACCACCCTCCATAGTAAGTCCATCCTCCCTAGTTAAACCACCCTCCGTAGTAAGTCCATCCTCCCTAGTTAAACCACCCTCCGTAGTAAGTCCACCCTGCCTAGTTAGACCACCCTCCATAGTAAGTCCATCCTCCCTAGTTAAACCACCCTCCGTAGTAAGTCCATCCTCCCTAGTTAAACCACCCTCCAGAGCAAGTCCACCCTGCCTAGTTAGACCACCCTCCATAGTAAGTCCACCCTCCCTAGTTAGACCACCCTCCATAGTAAGTCCATCCTCCCTACTTAGAGCACCCTCCATAGTAAGTCCATCCTCCCTAGTTAGACCACCCTCCATAGTAAGTTCACCCTGCCTAGTTAGACCACCCTCCGTAGTAAGTTCACCCTGCCTAGTTAGACCACCCTCCGTAGTAAGTCCACCCTGCCTAGTTAAACCACCCTCCGTAGTAAGTCCACCCTCCGTAGTAAGTTCACCCTCCGTAGTAAGTTCACCCTCCCTAGTTAGACCACCCTCCATAGTAATTTCATCCTGCCTAGTTAAACCACCCTCCAGAGCAAGTCCACCCTGCCTAGTTAGACCACCCTCCATAGTAAGTTCACCCT